AGAGTGAAGGACGTGCATTCCCAGAGTTATGCCTGGGTAGATCCATGCAGCTCTACCCTGACATTCCAGTTATACTTGTTTGTGAGGCGATACAGCCTCTGCATGCAGTTCATGGTTTATAGGACAACAGTCCACAAGTCCGTAGGGTGCTTTCACATTTATAGTACCTGGGAAATCAGGACACCAGAGAGCTGTTATCTGCTTGACCATGTGGAGATGACAAGAGGGGAAAGCAAATAGAACATAACATGGGCAAGATCCTTCAATTTGTACATCATCACAAAATTGGGAACATCCATCCACCCATTCTTTAACCAATACAGGGATGCAGGGGAATTCTGGCAAACAATGAGAGCATGGCATGATACACCAGGACAGAGTGCCAGTACACTGGAGGACACACCAAAGACACAGACACTAACATCTTCAATTTCTGAGGTACTATCTGCATGGAGTATGTATGTTCAACCTGTGTTTGTGTGGGTTTTTGCCAGGTGCTCTCGTTTCCTCCCACAGTCCAAAGACATACTGAAAGATTAACTGGCTTCTGAGAAAATGGACCCTAGTTTGAATGTGTGAGTGTCTTTAAAAATAGAAAATTATTTAGTAGAGGTATCTATCTTGTTCTGTTCTTTGTAGCCAAGGGTCCAAAGATCTAATCTAGCGGTTTCTTGAAAGATGGCTCAGTAGCTTGTTAGAGATGGACATGTTTTGTGCCAAGAAGGGACTTCTGTTTTCAGTTTTAAAAGGACTTCCCCATAGTTTTCACTTGTGTCCTCTTGTTCAAGTTATACTACTGACCCTGAAGTCCAATGGGTTTACTTTGTAAATGCTTTTGAGGATTTTCAGTACTTGAATCAGGTCCCTTTGTAGTCTAGTCATCTCTGTTTTTAACTAAAAAGGTTTGGTTCTTTAAGCCCGAAGCAGTAGAAAATGTATTTCAGCCAGGGAATGTATTAAGCTGCTCTTCAGTCTTTAATGAACTGATTCTGGAGAAGTGTTAATTTTTTGTTTTGAATATGGTGATCAAAATTGTAAAGAGTCTTGTAAATAAGATTTTAAATTATAATGGATCGATGAATGGTCCCAACACACATGGTCCCTTTAGTACTCCGTTAATTACATTTTCACAGTTGGAAAAATGTGTACTGTCTGTACCAGTTTCTATCCATTAACCACAACTCAACTTAATTGCTTGAATTTTCTTTTTTTGTCTCCTGCCTTGATTGTGAGAATGAGTCTTTTATGAAAAACTTGATCAAAACCCTTTCTTAAAATCTATACTATGTAGTACTATACAGTATGCTTTCCTTGAATCCATTACTGCTGCTGCTTGTTCTAGGAACCCTAATAAGTTAGTTACAGTACATCGCCTAACTTATCTAAATCCACACTGATTATACCCTACCTTCCTATGAATTTCATACAATACTTTGTGCAGCCATTATTTCTCACACCTCAATCTAATGTATTGTGTAATGGCACTACTTGCACATAATGGCTGCCATATCTCACCCATGTACCCATACTGTATGCTAAACCCTGTGAATGAACTAAGTTTCCTTTTTATAAGTAAATGCAAACAATTATTATAATTACTTGTATTTATATGTTCTTTCCATCCAAAAGGAAAAAAAAGGTTTTGTATATACAGTAGGAATTATTATTATTATTGTTATTATTATATCTATTTTTAGATCCTAAACATTTTCTTTATTCTGCAATGCCGTAGCCTGTCTTGGAAAAAGAATATCAAAACACACCTTTGGTCCTCTTATAGACATATGCAGGATTAATCACATGTGAACGTTGGCTCTGTGTAAGGTATTTTCAAGTTTGATTTATGCTGATGTCTGATTTTATATGACTCAGAAATACAACTATAGTATAGTGCTTTGCTCATTTCATGAATGCGCCTACTTCATACTTGTTTCTAATCTGGTAGAATTTTAAGAATTGTTCCTATATATGTACAGTAAATGAAAAATATCCATGTTCCTGAGTCATGACTTATACTGCTTCTTGTATAATTGGAATTACTATAATGCACCAAAGATGGTAAATTTAAGTCTGTATCTGTTTGTGTGCTTATTGTGCAGATTTTACATGTTACTGATAATTATAGATGATATTAATTATAGTTAGTCATTACTTTCTTAATATGTATTTGCCACACCAAAGTTAATCATTTAATAAACACTCATGTAAATGAATAAATGCAATCTTAAGAATGACCACATACAAGTACTACCTCAAAGAAGTTCCATGTAATTCCTACTGTAACTCCATAGTAGTCTGTTCATGGAGGTTTCCAGACACCAAAATTTCCTTCCTCAAATACTTGGACATACTGTAATTTAACATTTGTGAACATTTAATGTCAAATAGCTATGAACATACAGTACTCCATTAATACTTTACTAATAAAAATGTTAAAAAAAACACTACAGTCCACGGTTAAAAATAAAAATTAAAAGTAATATGATTCACTGAAAGCATAATTTCGTTTTATAACAAAAAGTCACCACTGTGTTATAGCGATCACAGACAAAGTAACTCCGACTCGAAAACGATCTTCCTTGATATCAAAATCATATAAATACGTTCTACGTTCTAATTCAATCACATTCTAAGGGACTGTAGTTTAATGAAGCCATTTATTGATCAACATTGGTGTGAAATAGTCAAATCTGTAAGACAACGAAAAAAAAAACGCGGTCCGTGTACCGAACACCGGTGTAAACAGAAAAGAAGTGTGTCGAAAACCTACAGGCTAAATTCCACATTCATTTTAGATTTGCACAAAGACGTGGATAATACTTGACGATAGTAAATAGGTTATTTAAGAGCTGACTGGGGCCTTAAATCCATTGACAAAAATAGGGAAAAGTTTCTTGAAAACTCGCGATGCATCAAACTCAATATACAGTATTACAGCGAGTATATCTGTAGCTGTAAAAGTATACGAACAACATTAAAATAACTTGCCGTACTCATCTCTTGGTGCATGAACACCACACCCTCTTGTGAGACGATAATTCCAACATCATTTATGCTATCTTGGCAGGTATGCTAGGAAGGTTATTTTTATTGACAGATAAAAGACCATGCTTAACACCTAAGGTGTGGTAAGGTAACGCTTTTGAGTTTTTACGTGGGATAGGCATAATTGTCCAAGTCTGAGAGGTGTCATTACTTGCTATACTCATGTTATTGCCTATTGTTACGTGAGATACGTGAGATATGTGGGTCAGATTACTGTACCATGATCCGACATAACAAAAGAAAATTCAGGCCTTGAGGAGAGTTAGATATGGATCTATCAATCACTAATATAGAACTGATACGTACAGCTTCAGGGAAGTATATAATTAGAAAAATGACACACTCAAAGCCCAGTATTTCATATAGAGTCCTTGTCGGTCAGGAAGTCACTCTTACGAGCATCGTACCAACTTCAGATATTCTAAAGCTTTTCAAGAGTCCTTAGAATCTACTCGCCAAAGACAAAAATCGCAAAGTAATATAATCCCGTTTAAGTTCGTATAACACTGTTCAAGATGAAAAAAGAATGACCTCAGACTTTCTGAAGGTTCGTGATTAAAAGGAATCAGTTGGCAACTAACCTAAGGTTCTGATTTCATTTAGTCCGCAGCAAGAGATTTTTTATGTATTAGGCTACAGTGATTAACATTAATAGGGCCCATTAAGATGTCTACGCCATTATTGTGTATCTTGAAAAGGAAAGCCATGACAGACGTGCTTCATCATCATCACCATCATTATCAAGCAATGAAGCAACGAAGGTGTCATTTAACAGCAAAATCATTAAGCTCGCAAATGTATTGATTTGCGTGTGTCCTTTACAACATAACTAACAATTAGACATTAAAATTATCGGAAATTCTGTAATATTGATAAAACTTTTTAAAAATAAATTTACATTATTAGTACTTTATCTTAGTGAGAGTAAAATTTGAATCGAATTTGAAAAAATTGAAAAATTTGAAATTTGAGAGTAAAAATTGAATCGAAAACTTATTACAATTCGCTTAGACGTTCAAGTTTCTGGTCTGAAACTCTTAATATCAATGAACGACTTTAAATATGTCTGAATTTCCAACTCTCGGGGTAGATATTTGGATAAGTTAAATCTCACAGTTATTTGAATAAAATATGTTCTTTTAATTATTGAAGAGACAATTCTTTACAGATACTTGACACTCAGTTATAGGATGTCCTTTATTTGAGATATTCTGTGAATCTTCGGCAGTTTCACCTGAGAGCGTTACATGGCAGTAAATTGTGCGTTAACACTTACCGTCCTTTAGATGACGAAAAGACGAAATGGGCTATCTTTAGATGACCATTGATTGGATCTACTGTATATACAGTACCTAAGGGAAATAAATGAAGATAGTTGTTATTCGCAAGTTTTTTAATTGGCTTGTAAAGATTGTTATGTCAATTTTCATTGTCTGGTGAGACAAGGAACTATTGAAAAAGGCTGGCGTGGTCACGTGCCTTTCACAATAACTGTTTTGCACAGGATTAAAATGTGTAGCAATGATTAAACAGGCAACACACAACATCTCTACATACATACAGAGGTTCAGTTAGCATATTACCCTTAAACTAGTATCTTGATAAGATTATCTACAGTTTATAAAATGCACCGAATTACGAAAATATAACTTTTTTTTTTTCCTGGAGCTGTTGCTCCAAAACCCATGTTTATAGTTCAGTTCCAAAAAATACTATCTAGACCTACAATCTATACCTACAATGTAAAAAAGTCAAAAGCTCTACATTTGCGGGATGTAATTACTATAGCATACAACGCATGGTTTTACAATGCCTTAATGAATGTCTAAAGTATCTTACTTGCATTAAAAAAACCTCTTACTGACTATTAAAAATTGAAAGCGCTGAAAAGAAAAAAAAACGTAGTCTTTAGCATCTTTGGGTTACCTCGCTCCGGCTTTCCTTTCTGAAATAATAACAGGATGCGAAGACACAAATAGCCAATAGGAGGTACTGTATCATGTTCTTCTAAACCTCTTTCTTTCACTTGACGTGGAATTTGAGCCTTACACACCGCTATCTGTATTTTGATTTGTTCCCTAATTGACCTAAATAAAGCCCCTGACTGACAGGGTTTCTCTAGCCCCCCAAGGCACACTATCTAACAGAGTAGTGAACTCATTGCAAGTAATTCCCTTATTTTCTTGAGTAATCCCATTTGCTATTGTGGTCGTCCAATCGCAGAATGTTATTTGCTTGTTAAGCGTTTAACTTGCTTGACATTTTTACTTCAGCATTGCCGCTGTCTCCCAGTTTCTGGCGCCTGTAATTTTATGTGGTTATTTTAGTGGGTTTCATCCTAGGAAATAGTTGACATGGTTAATCAAAGACGGCGAGACGTACAGAAGGGAATGCGTTTTTTGTATTTGAAGTGAAAAGATCATTACCGAAGTAAGGGAAGACCAACACTGTGGCCAGTTAGAAATTAAAGCGGACATCATGCCTGACAAAGCGGCGGAGAGCCAGAATTCAACATCTGCGAGGGTTTCCTCGTTTTTTATTGAAAATTTGCTAGGATCCAACAGAAAAGAAGAGACGAGGGATACAATTCAGGATAATATAGACGACTGCAGTAAAGAGATGTTTTTTCACAGCGGAGTCGCAGTCAGCCATTGCAATCAAATCTGTTGTCAAGTATCAAATGCTGGATTCAGTACGCAGAACTGTCCTCTGAGGATCTATCCTTTGGAATGGTACAGAAGAGCTTCGCTGAACTGTGCAGCACACGAAAGACTGGGGAGTAAGTATAATTTTGTAAATTGTTCATTTATTTTATTTATTTGAAGTTTTCTATATTACTGTAAAAAAGAGAAGCATACTATTGATTTGACTCAAGCAGATCACAATGTTCCTCCCTACCACCAAAACACACACACCTCTTCCTCACGTTTTCAGAAATATGGAGTTAAAAGACAAAATGTTTACGTGCAAGTCTGCGTATTCTTGAAATATAAGGCCTACATATTTTATATCCAGTACAGTTTGGAGTACAAATGCTTAGCCTAATTGTTTCTTCATCAGTTTAATAACCATGCCGCAAATGCACATACTGCAGGTTGCTATTGCATTACACGTTGCATTTGTATTTAAATATTCCCAAACGGAATAAACAATAATCTTTTTTGGACTGTGCTGCTCAGTTTTTCCTTTAGGCTATACCTCGTTTATTAAAACCTTCACAATCAGCAAGGGTGAACTCTTGGTAAATACTGCAAATTCAGCACGATTGGAATGAAGGCTTTACTAATTATATTAAGGACCTACAGTAAATATTCAACTGGTTACAGTATTTATGCTTTTTAAAATATAGTTCTGTGGATTTGAGGAAATGCCAAACTCAAAAGCTTATGCTAGCATATCAAGGTTAGGACACATTGTTATACAGTTAAAATGGACTAAGCATTGTCTTGTAAATCAGATTTTACACTCTAGAATTACGATTACATTTAGATAATTATTCCTTTTCCTGTTATTAAATTATATGTATTAAACCAATCGACGCCACATTTAGTTAGGTTATTATTTAGGCCCATATGAGTTGCGTATAATTATTTTTTAAATAAAAAATACATGATCACTATTTTCGAGACAGCACATTTTCAACACGGCTGTCTTAATGGTCGCTTTTATATTACTATTTTTTATCCTTAAAGATGTGTTAATGGCATTTGCGTTGCGTCGCGGTTCCTTTTCCACTACGAATATTTTTATATATATATAAATGGCATATTTATCATTTCAGGTCCAAAGGAGAATCACAGTTTAGATGACGCTTGCTACTCTGGAACAGCTAGCGACCGGGATTCTCCAGGGATTTCTGAGCCCACTGAAGGGAACGAGAGAAAGCAGGAGGAAAACACAGCAGACGGAAAGGAGGATGATACTCTACATACTTTCCACGGATTGCCTGATCAAGAAACCCCAGAACAGAAATCTGCCCGAAAAAAGAAGACTCGTACAGTTTTCAGTAGGAGTCAAGTTTTCCAGCTGGAATCTACCTTTGACATGAAAAGATACTTGAGCAGCTCCGAGCGAGCGGGACTGGCGGCGTCGCTGCATCTGACTGAGACTCAAGTGAAAATCTGGTTCCAGAACAGAAGGAACAAATGGAAAAGACAATTAGCGGCGGATTTGGAAGCAGCGAACCTTTCTCATTCGGCTCAAAGGATTGTCAGAGTTCCAATTTTATACCACGAAAACTCAACTCCTCCTGCCTTGGGTTTTAGTGTGCCTCAAGTGTCGCCACCATTAGTTGGCTTTTCGAGTACTGTGAATTACCCCGTTACAGCTTTCCCCTCTTCAATGTCCTTTATAAGGTCACAAATGACAGGTTTTGTGTAATAACAAGAATACATAATATTTACACTTCAAATATTTCTGGTGGATTTATTATTGAATCAGAGACGTGCAATAATTCACTGTATAGTGATGCAGAAAATTGCGTTTGTTTGCTGCATTCACAGTGAAAAAGGTGTATAAATCAATACATTATAACATTAATTTAAAACTTGTTGATCCTCATGGATATATAAATTAAGCAATATGTTGTTGTTAATTTTTTTTAATTACATCTTACCTATGGGCAAGATTCTGGGTAATATTCTGATCAATACGGGGTCACAGCCCACGCCTTTTACCTTACGAAGGGGATTCTTTAAAAGTATTTTACAAAAAAAAAACTTTATTCAATTCTTGTTTTCCAATTTTGTCACGTATCCACGACTGAATAGCTACAAATAAATAATTTACAAATAATTGTACTGTCTTTTATTTTATTTCAACACAAAAAAAATAAATCCTTTGCCTCTGCTGTAGTTGCTGATAAGCCATACAGTATGTTCTGCGCGATACACTGCAGTATTTCTCAACACCTTCCATTGGGTGTTTTTGTTTCTAATGCCAGCGTCGGATTTAGCACTAACACTGTAAAGTGTTAATATCCCTTATATCATTTCTGTTCCTGGTTTCTTGTTCACTAAGTTTTAAAGGCCGTATTGTTTCAGCACAAAGCCTCTCAGATAAAACGGTAAGAGGTAAAATTAGTTCACTACTGAACGCTATTGAATAAAATACTAAGTTCTGGAAACCAAAAAGATATTCTTTTAGAAAATAATGAATACCCAAAGAGGTAATATGAAACAGGCTCCGAAGCTCATCCACTTTGCAAATTCAGTTCACGTTTCTCAAACTAAAAGCGGGATCTAAGCACACGATACTTTATTTTAAAAGCACACTATACAGCAAATATACTGAACAGTGGTTCACAGGATAACTTCCAGGTGGTTAAATGTTTTTAGCATTTTCTAATTTTCTAGACGTACGGCAGTTATCTGAAACACAGACACCACAATGTTTTTCTATCTGAAGTTATGTGCACGTGAATTACACTATTTATAGCCAAACATTGGAAGTTATCGAATACCTATGATTATCCTTTTAGGGTCCTTCAATAGTTCAACAACTTATTTAAACTAAAACTACAGCCTGTAGCTGTACAGTAACTTCTAAGCCAACAAGCTAGGCTACTTACAGTATCTATACTCAGGTTTAGTTCGAAATTCAAAATGATCAGGATTAATTGGAGGGAACAATGTGATTTGGATATCCATGTGCAAAGGCATAACAATAAATAAGTTAAAATACTTATCAAATATGATGATTTACGTATATACCTGTTACTCGTCATTCTACTTTGATCTTTTCAAATCCAACGCTTGCTTTAAGCACACATTTAACACCGTACATTATAATTGCTATTTTTATTGAACACGTTTGATTTATGATATATTTTTAATGCGTTAGTTAATCTCTCTCTTTAATGCTAATAAGATCTATTAGACGTCTGTTTCAAAGCATAAGTGATACCTCCTGTAGAACATTATAGATGAAGGCCCAGATTAAATCAAACTCTTGACCCACTTCCAATCACAAATTACATGATGACTAGTTACCACAACGCAGAAGGAAGAAGCCTTTGGCAAGGAAAAAAACAGTCATCGAGGATTACTCTTTCAATTTGCATTTCAGGAGTAGGTTGAAGTTTTGATTTAAAACAGTTCTACATCTTAGAATAACAACAGATAAAAGATCGAGATTTTGGTAGTGGTTTCAGTAAACGAAGCACTAGGTCTTCACCACCATAGATAGATGTGGCTGTCCAGTTATACAGTTATAAATGAATACTCCATAATGTAAACGAAAATCAATCGATGTAAAGGCTGCTTCTATTTCTGTTCATGTCTCGAGACTATTATTTGAACACGCGGAATTTAAAAAGGGAGTGGAAATAAGTGTTGTTACCTCATTATACAGGTGTTTCCTTTATTGTGAGAACTATTATTTTAATTAAGAGTCAACTAGAACATCATACCTAAAAAGGGTTCTAATTTTACAATTCACTGAATACTGAAATACTCAAATCAAAGAAATGAGCATTAGATATGTTCTGTACTTAGAATTAGAACTAGTTTATATCTCTAACGCTGATAAACACTTAGAGTTACCCTTCTCTTGGACAAAAACAATATTTTCATTTGCGCAACACACTAATTCGCCTTTAAAGGCGAAGCGGGTTATCGCTTACACTGGGAAGAGAATTACTGTAGAGGCTATGTGTTTACTTCAGGCAAAATGTATACAAATGTTATTTGCAAAAGAAGACTGCGTCATATTTTGTGTTTTTGGGGTATGTGACTGAATCACTCCTTAGTCCTCAAATCACCCTGTGTTCCTGACAACGCGTGGCTTTCCCATTCGTAAAATTGTAGCAGAACTGTCAGTAGCAATTGTAGTTTAAGTATAGTAATTAGTAATAATTCGGAATATATAAATGTATCTTGGTTTTAAAATATATAGTTTATAAAGAGCTAATATGTCCAATGAAGCCTTAAGAATATGCACATTCAAGTTAAGAGAACTTAAAAGGTCACTTTTTTATAATCGGTGAAAAGTACGCTACTCTATAAATAAAAATAATAATAAAAGTTACTTAGGGTCGTGGTTAAAGCATACTATTTTAGAATTATTTTCTGTTTTGAGAAAGTATGTAAGATGTAAGAGACTCTGTGTAGATGTAAATATCTATACAAAACGTAATATTCAAATTCCAAAACGAATTAGTTTCTTCTGTCTCCTTTGTACAGGTTAGTAATATAAGCACCTGCTACTGTATATTGCAGTTTTACGGCATATTCACGAATTTTTAAGTTGAAAGTAAAGTTCCATGTCAGCTAATTACATCTACAGTTGTTTGTTTTTTGAACTGAGAAGTAGTCCTACAATGTGATAAGAGAGATTTAAAAAAAATTGATTAAATCAATGAAATAAAAATCATTTTTACAATTATTAGTAGTATTATTACACCCATTTTACCATCTTTCCAGTGGACAAAGGTGAGGTGTTTTATCTCTCTCCGTGTATTAATAATGACATTTTTTTATCTAGATGCATGTTAGTTTCTGGTGATGGTGTTAATTACAAAACGAATAGACTTCGTTGTCATTTTCAAATAAGAAAGGAGGACTACATAGAAAAACGTAGGAATCACAGATTGTTACATCTGACCTTCAGAGATTCGGTTACAACAGTGATGAGTAATTTGTGACTATAGAATAGTATAGCATGAATAACAGCTTCTTCAGTTTTATCAACACTATTTAAATTGAATGTACCTGCGCTGCGTTGGTCATTTTTCATAAAGTGTTACTAATATACGTACTCGTTATTGTTCTTAGTAATATCTGCCAGTTGAAAATGATAACCAATAACAAGCCATTGCAATGCAAATATCATCATAACTAATACATCCAAGGCCACTGCATCTGCAGATGTCTGTAGTTTAGTAGTGACCAGAACTGAACTTTCATTACCCTTTTTAGGATATGTTATACTTTAGGGGTTCAATTCATAGGTAGTTAATCAATACATTACAGAAGTATCTAATTTCATATTTATGCACAATAGACGTAAAACAAAATATAATTTCGTGTCGCTACTGTAACTATATGATTACTTGACCTTTTAACCTATGACAAAGTCAGTTAACGATTTTAAACGCGAAATGTATTTTCTATTGTAGGCTAATATTCTAGGTACCCATCACCGTGTAATGTTGGTATTACGAAGAGGAGCAGAAGTGGTAACAATGTTGTTTTTTCATCCTTTCAAAAAATCCTAAAGCGCTTTACATATAGAAAGGGACCCAATTTGACCATGACTGAAATGCAGAGCTCAACCATGGAGACACGCAGCAGACATTCTGCGACAGCAGATCAGGTGGAGAACTGAGAAATTACTTCACCGATTGAATTCGAAAACCCGATACTGAGACTGTTAAAACTCTTAAATAGGCAAAGAGACGAATGATTTAACCAATCTTCACATGCAATACTATCTTTTCTGTCTATATGGCTAAAATATCCGGATAATACCCTTTTTTATACTCGATCTTCACCCGTATAGTAAAAATATCGAAGATATTAGCTCACATTCCACCAGCAGTTAATACACGCCAGCTTTTAGCTCCCGCCTTCTTCTGTTATTGGCCATGACACTGTGTTTACCATTCGGCCAATCGATAGCTGCAAAACCACGCTCTTCCGGTTCATTGAATAACTGCCAGCCATCTGGTGCTGCAGCTCTAATCTTGGAGCAATGGTGCTTGGAGTATCAAGACGCTACAGTTATCCGGAAACACGGCGATAATTCCAAAGGCAGAGGCTGCTGTTGTAAATGTCTGGGAATATGAGCAAAGAAGACGTGCAATGCCGAACCGCTTCTTTGAAATTCACCATTGACCATATTCTCAATCTCAAGCAAAACAGCAAAGATCTAGACGTCTCTCGCCCCAAAGTGCAGATAGCGACGGACAGCAAAAATGATTCACATCGCCGATTCGAAGACCAAGAAGTGAATTACAGACATGAAGTCGACTATGCACTCAAAGAAACAGGTTATTATTATTATTTTATTATTATAACAACATATAAGTAGATATTTCTTATATAAATCCATAGTTAGGTACTGTTATACTGCATGGCGACTTTTAATTAATTTAAATTAGTTTTTCGAATGCATAAAATACATTAATGTATGTGAGGGAGTTGGAAAAACAGTTATAAAATGAATGTACTGAATTATATTTTACCACTTAATTTCACAGAGCAGATAGACTCAGTCTGTAACGCCACTGCTCATAACCTCACTGTCTGCAGAGAAGATGCTCTGAACATCAGGGAGTCACGTCCGAGGACTGAAAGCACAGACAGTTGCGACGATGGGGCTCCACATAACAAAAGCAGCAAGAAAAGCAAAATGATGACCAAAAAGAAGACTCGCACCATATTTTCGAAGAGACAAATTTTTCAGTTGGAATCTACATTTGACATGAAACGATATCTGAGCAGCGCAGAAAGGGCTTGTCTGGCGAATTCTTTACAACTCACCGAAACTCAAGTTAAAATCTGGTTTCAGAATCGCAGGAATAAATTGAAAAGACAGTTGTCTACAGAACTTGAAGGCCCTAGTTCTGCTGACCATTTTGCTGATGCGGGAAAGACTGTACAATTTCCAGCACTCTACAAAGACAACAATATACTGGGTAGATGTCTGTTACCAATGCCTTTTCCTGTCATGTATCCTGGAAGTAGCGCTTCTTATCTATGTTTCTCAAACGCAAGCAAATATTTCAGTCTTTTCGATGGAGATGTATGACTTTTGAGTTGCATGTGGAAGACGAACTGAATTTCGCACCAATATGGCTTCAGTTGTCAACTGCTTTATTATTATCATTTATCTTTCGTTTATATTACATTCAGATTCTCAATTCATTTTTATTAAAAAGTAAATGTTACACATATGGAAAAATGCCCGACAAAAGTTATGCAAGTATATCTATATTAAATTCTTTTTTATTCGTAAACAATTTTGATATTTTGGATTTACAAGTGAGTGTATGTGACTGTTTATTTACACCTGAAACCTTTGAAAATGACCTTTTTATATAGACAACGGTAAGTTAGGGTACAGATGTTTGGATGAACAATATTTGGTCTACATAGTTTTAATAACTCATAGTTTTTCCTGATTTTTTTAACCAGTATGTGGTGTCAGTTGAACAGCAATTACGATTTGTTTACATCCGTATTTATTAAATATTTCTTACAGTACTGAACACAGCCAAAGACAATCAGTTTAAAACTCTTTGCATGCATTTATATAAACTGAATTTTAATAAAGATTACTTTTTAAATTAATACTATTTGCTATATATTTAAAATGAATGTATAAACTTTTTTTGAGCATGTCTTTTAAAACTATATTGTGTATTATATTAATTTTCCGACCTTTGTTGCTTGCCTCCTATACCCAGCCAGGTAACACTATTTACACTTTGTCTTGACTTATTAAAATAATCTAATTTTAAAACTGTACAGTAATTATTATAATTTTATTGTGCACTTTATTATTTTACCTAATAATGGCGTTCATACATCTTCAATAGTTTTATTAAGGACATGTGTTTTTCTTCCAAATATTGTGTATTTTGAAGTGGTTAATACCTCTTTTTCCCCTGGTTTATCCATCAGCAGCTCTAGAGGGAATAAGGCATTTCATATAAAAACAAATGTGAAATTCTCAGATTTGTATTTAAGTGTCTTCATTGAGGTAATAAGATCTGAAATAAATATTTTATTGCAATATAACAGATACAAAACAATTTAATTCAAAGATTAAACCACACAGTACGTATTTTAAGACAAGCTTAGAAAAATAAGAATGTGATTATGTAAGCTCGTAACTCGCGTTTATAAGGATACAGGAATGCTTATTTTCCAAATGTATATTCAAGCTTATGTTTTGCATATTTAAGAACATTTAAAGATTTAAAATCCCTCACCTTTATTATTGTAAAAAACCGCCGGATCTCAGACCACAATTTGTTGCATGACTTAAATTGTGAAGACAATGATGAAATAAGACAGTTTAGAAGTGAGAAAGTAAACGCATTTCAAATTAAAATGTATTAATTTTACAAATAAAACCCCAACTTAGCTACGTTTTGTAGTTTCATCCAATTTCTCCACACCGAGGTAGCGGTGTTTGGATATTCAGCTGAATAAATCTGAGGAAAGTGACTCCCAAGTTCAAGTTTGAATGTCAAAACCCAAATCCTTAGATATCAAATATACAATATCTGAGCTCCACTTTGAACTTTATGCCTATACATATTCAATTAAATACCAGATATCAAAATGTAATCTTTATTATCTGGCATCGGCATCCCCCTGTGAGGAAGAAATCATAAATTATTTGCACATGCAGGAATACTGTAGTTCGTGGTTATAGGCAGATTAAAATTTCCCAGCGGCCAAATAAAATCCTAAAGAAAAGACATTAGGTTAGACATGAAGGAGAAGAAAATGCTGACTTCATGCTGATTTCTTCATAGCGGAGAAATAAGCACGAACATGTATTTGAGAGGAAATGTTAAATTTGTTACTTTGTTATAAAACTGTTCTCTGCCAAGCTGTCACGACATAACAGCTTTTTTTTTTGGGGGGGGGGGGGGATAAATACCCCCTTTAATAGTTAAGAAGATAGTGTGTATAAAAAAGTGTTTTATTTTCCCCGTTTTATTTTCACCAGTTTGAGAATTGCTGATTAGGCGAATCTTTTTATTCCATATGTATCTGGTCTATATTCATAAATGGCTCTAAACACTGATTCCACTGTTATTCCACGTTATTTTTCCTCAAAGGAATAAAATGCAAATGTCTGTTTAAACGCAATAAGTCGCTGTGAAAACTGTATAGTATGCATCTGAAGTATGCGAGTAATTCATTTTTTAACTTGATTTGCATACATCTTTACAACCTTCTGAAAAAATAATTGTGGACCACGCTCTATGTCTACAGTTTGCATCTGTTGAGACTTGAGCAATTCGAGGACAGAATCCAACCTCACCTGTAAATTTACTCAACCAGGCATGAGCATGTATCTTGTATTCCCAGAACAATTGTGAGGCCTGACAATTGAGAACTATCGAAATATGTATAAACTACAGGTGTGCCTTTAGGTTATGAGATAATTCTCTCCACAAAGCCAGAGCTTGTGATTTATCATAGCATTTATGACAGCAAATTAACCCTGACAAATCCGATATAATCCGATCTGCAAAACAGTTGTATTTGTCTAATGCAACTTAACAGAAACGTACAGAACAACAAATTCTACATTTCTTACACAGCATCGCAGTTTATCATGCAGATAATTGCTTCACAGCAAAAACGTCAAATTATTATATATACATGAAATGTTTTATAACATTGAAAATTAAGATAGTAAAAATATGTTTCGAAATGTATTTTAATAACCGTGTCGAAACATACAGGTAGCAAAATCGTGTCTTATGCGTTTCAACTATTTCATTGAACAATGGTGGAGGATTATGAATAACCAATAGCAAAGAATGCGGAGGTAAAGCGATCAAAAAGGTGGATGTACCACAGGCTTTAAATTTAACACGATGGCACATCAAACACAACAATGTTTCTGTAAAATTAAACGAATTTCTCCTTCGAAGAAAAACTGAGTGTTAAGGTAAGGCACTGTACAGTACATCTTATATAGTATAGGAAAACATTTTCCATATTCTAACTAAAATGATTTAAAAGAGTTGCAGTATCCTCTCATATTTGATTTCCGCGAAGTAGCACAAAACAGGCCTGTTTCAATCGGCCTCTATATAATGAAAGTGGATGGCAGAATAATATTTTGAAATATCGTGTTATTATGGTGATAACTATAGTTATGGGTTTTGTTGTTGTGAATGAATGTCAAAGATTCTCAGTGAAGCCACTAACGGCATATAGTACATTAAGTGTGACTTCATGTACCAAAGGGGAAGCTTAGATAGAATACTGTACATGGGAGAGATGTACAGTACAATGCAGTTATTCCCTTCAGTTATCATCCAATGTCATTATATCCATTAATGTAAAACTGTTTCAAAGTAAAATCGTTTTTTTAAAGCAAAAAGGCCACAATGGCATTTGAAACGCATTTTTATTATTAAACGTTTTGTCTCTACGCTAACCACTTAATGAAAAGAAGCTTTTCGTTGCTCCTCTCAAGCCTTTTGTACGTTCAAGCTGATACTGGAATGAAGGCTATATCGAGCGTTGTTTGGGACTACTGGTAAGATGGTCATACAGTATATTTATAAATATTTGAACAATAACACGTTTGGTACTGTGTTCATGGTTATGCAGCTACTGTAAATACATGCATGCACATTTTGTACGGATAGTTGAAAAAAAAAAAACGATATAAAAAATAAAATTAAGCCAAATAAGATTAAGTCAATGTACTGCTTGACAGTTCTGTTCCACATTACTCTTTGTGAGGGAGGGTGAGTGGAAGATGTTTTCACATTTATAAAGCTGATGATTATGCATCTTTGTAGCAATACACTACTTGGCAACAAAATACAAAAAGGCATTTTAGAGTTCTTGTTAAATTAACTATAGGAAAAAGATTAACCAAAAATGTCTCTTACCTAGATTTATTCAACCTCAAACAAAAACATATTCTTTCTTTATTCTTTATTTAACCATCTGGGATGATGGTTTGGTATTTTTCCTAATTAATACAAAATTAAAGTTCATTTATTTAATTATTCATCATTTTTAAATATAGCCTTCAGCTTGTTCGGTTACTATTAACCTTTGAACACAACAGTATTCAATATTTGTTTTAGCAGTGGCCAGTGTGCTCATAATCATGTACAGTACTGTATACTGTGTATACTGCACTTTTATATGTTTATTTGTGATTCCCTCAAAACCAGGTTCTTTAACCCTATATTTTTTATTTGCTATTTTAATAAATTAGATCTTGTAAATATTGTGACTTATACTGTGATTTTATCAGAAAAAAATAACAACGATACAAACCTAATGCTTATTGCTTGGTAAAATCACTGTTTTACACCTTGTCATTAAGAATGAAGAATTTGATATTGAGAAATGGCTTTGAAAAAAATACTCACATTCTTCACATTTATTTATAATTAAATAATTAAAATGAATACTTGGACATGTGTGTAAAGTGCTGAATAGAATCACAGTTTTAGTGTTAATGTGTAAACTGTTTTGTCAGCATGGCTCAGCTGTACTTTGTGAAGTTAGCTAACCTGGAGTGCTGGTAGATACAGTATTTATTTTCCATATGTATCCATCCTTGCGTTCTGCAAAAGTGAAAAACGATATTACCTTCTGTGGAAAATTTGTGAAATATGTTACAGACACACTGCACTAAACCCGTTTCTCACTGAGGGTGGAACCAAACCAAAACTAATAAATGTAAAACATTTTGATAATATAGTGAGCAAAGCTGCTCTGACCTCCTGGCTTAGGTAAACCAAGGCCTATTTTAAATCAAGAAAAACAGAGCTATGATAACACCACTTTCTAATGGCTGTGGCAGTTAGCTACTTTTGATAAATATTACCCTGTATTTTTATATCTATTTAGTGCCCCGTAATCTGGCACTGTTTCTTCCTCTCTCTCATGCCATCCCCCATTAGAAAAGGAAATCTTTCTTTCTCTCTCCCTTCTCCCTTCAACCAGCTGGGGAAGGGTCTCTTGGTAGACATCTTCCACAGTATATGTATTTTCAATGGCAGTATAGCGTAGAAGTCACCTATGATCATTTCACATTTTCTTGGAAACCCCCCCCCCCAACATAATTGAATGTTGCACAAATCTGCAAGTGACTTAAAAACTACTTAAGTTAGTGAATTGTCTCCCCTCATGTCTTGGTGTTTATAATGACCAGTCTACGTTTAGGTTTTCAAGGCTTTGAAGGAAAGCAAACTGAGGTGAAACCCTGGGTTACCATTGAGCAATTTAAAACATTTAACTTACTCTGAAAATTTAATACCTACCTGAATAAGCCAAATACTAAAAGATTTTTGTCAAGAAGTCCCACTGTAATCACTGCTGTTGTACCTTGAGCAAGGTACTTTATCCTAATTTGTGAAAAGTATTGGGACCAGTATTGCTGCCAGTAATCCCAGCAATGGACAGACATCCATCTTGGATGAGGGGGAGTGGTGGGGTAGCCACATGCTCTCTTGTCTGGTTAATGACACAGAAACCAAGTTTTAGGTTTTGATCCAATGAGGCCATGTGGCTCAGATATTAAACTAACCTATCTAAATACTTCCTATATTTATGACAGTTCTCTCTGGTTTTACAAAAATATACAGTGTAAATAAGGCAACTAAGCCAATTAATGATAGGTTCTGATAAAATGTAGACGGCTGCCAATTTATGTTTAATTAAGACCTGAACACTTTGAATAATGAAAGTGATTTTGAGGGAAGCAAAGCCAGAAATAAAGACAAAAGCTTAATGGTGTAAACATCATCTATAAAAGAGGTTAACACAAAGTTCTAAGCAAAGTTGTTTTCTTTAGACAAAACAGGCAAGGAAAAGTATTGCCATAATAAATCTTTCCAAAGACCATTATAAGATAATTCCTTGTATTAATCAATTCTTTCTTTTCCCCCCAAGATTTATGGAACTCTGATGAGTATTGTGATGAAGGGGAGATATACTCAGTCATTTCATTGTGATTGTACTGCTCCAACTGTCAGATTTAGCAGTGGATGTTTTATGGTATAAGATACCATAAAGTTATATGTCATCTGCAGATGTAGCAAATTGGTTGTATCTGAGGTTCAAATGAAATCTAACCCCTGCAAAAACATATTGAACAATTGAACAAACTTCTGAAACCTCTCATTAATACTTATTGTTTTCTAGTTCCAAGACATCCAACAGTATAATTCAAAAAGATAATGCGCCACACATTGCACAATATGCTAGAAAAAGACAAATGGAGGGTATTTATTTGTTTCAAGATTGGAAATTTGATTACAATACATTTTTTCAGTGATTGTTACCTTACCAACATGATCATACTTAGTCATTAGTCATAGTGGAATAGGTTCTGTATTTCAGTATGTTAGACTGGAAAATATCCCTGTTTGCACTGATATAAATCAATCAAATAGTTTCAAAGTTACAAAATTCCTACAAAATCACAATACCATATGAGCACGCAATGTATGGTTTGCAGCTTGATTGGCTTTCTGGAAGGAAAATATGTTGGATGCCATGAGCTGGTTTCGTTCAAGATTTGTGGACATAAACCACAGTTTGCGGATCTCCACTGCAACACAAATATCAGTAGTTTGGTAAGATCCTAATAAATGTATGAGAGGGACAAGATATGTAGAGTGTATTTGGCATAGCTCACCTCTATAAGGGTGAGGCTGCCCAGCCAAAACAATCCCCAGAAAACACCTGTGCAGAGTTCTAAACCCTGGGATAAGAGCCAGGCAGTTTAGCTCTTAGCTCTTGTGCTACAAACAAAAGAATCTGTGTGATGCAGGCTTTCTTTTCCTAGTGGGCTCGGATGCAGTGCTTGA